GAAGGGGGAATGGGGGGGGGAAGGGGGGAAGAGGGGGAACCCACCAAAAAGGGATAATAATGTTACAGCTACAGAGAAAAGGTATTAAAAGGCCATAGCACAAAATGGAGACCATCAGAAAATTTGGAGGAATACTCCTTGGGCACAAGCACATGAAAATTAAAGGGCAATGCTGTATACCAGTTTTGTGGAACAGGAAGTATATTAACTAAGCCATTCGCTTGTACATATTGAACACTAAGGCGTTTCTTTTTCAATTTCAAGTTCTGCTAGAAGAATATGAAGTCAAGGTGATGGGCGCCTTACATCAGCTAATCAAAAGAATAATGTTTGGATCTGGAGTTACTTGCAAGAATTACTTGATTTCCATGCTACTAAGTAGGCTACTGAGGCCTTGTCAGGTCATTGGCAGATCAACTTATTTTGTTCAAGGGAGAAGGCTTGCAGCCCCAAACTGTGAAAGCAGAGAGACCCCTTCCCAATTTTGATCTGTAAGCGATAGGGATGTAAAAGAGTAGTTGATTAGTCATCAAGTCGACTACTTGCATTCTCCCCCCCCATATCAGTTGCATGGCTCTCACAACATTTAAGAGGCCCCACACCGCAGACAGGGTGCTGGGAGGGAACCAGCTTCTAGGAAGATAGTAATTCAGTGGAGGTGGGACTCCGTACACAAGCCAGCAAGGGAATGAAGATTTTTGCTCAGTAATTCATGTAATAATAAACTGTTTAAAAATGTTTTAACAACAAAGGTAACAGACACCCTGCAAACCCCAGAGTATATGTTGTAAGGCAAAGCGATGTGTAGGTCCTCTATGAATCGAGGAAGGAGAACAATTAAGTGATGACATCAAGAAGGATGAGGTATTTAATCCCTATTTTGCTTCAGTCTTAAAAGGCTAACAGTGATCTGTTACTCAACACAATTAACATGAACATGGGAGAAGAAATGCAAGTCAAAACAGGGAAAGAATATTCAGATAAGTTCAATGTATTCAAGTCTGCAGGGCCTGAAGAAATTCATGCAGGGTTAAGAAACTAGCTGAAGCAATCTTGGGCCATGTTTTCACTAAACGGAGTCTAGGTAAGACTCGCTAAATTAAACTCAGAGTGCACCCCCACCAGCTGCCAGTACTCATGCTACTGAAAGGAGTAAGGGAAGCCAACGGGAGCATTTGCTCCCATTGGTCTCCCGCTATGGGGACGACAGGCAAACTCAAAACAAGGTACATATCTTCTTTCGACATTCCCTTTTAGTGTAGACCTGGCCTTGAAGCATTAGCAATGATCTCTGAGAGCTCCTGGAGGATGGGTGAGGGCCCCAAGGACTGGACAGGGCAAATACTGTTCCCTTTTTAAAAAGACAGGTGCTAAGATGACCTAGAGAACTGTAGACCAATCAGCTTAACTTCAACCTGGGAAAATACTGGAATAAATTCTTATACAACTTGTAAGCCCCTAGAATATAACACAGTTTTAAAAAACAGTCAATATAGATTTATCAAGCACAAATCATACCAAACCCACCTCATTTCCTTCTTTGACAAGGCTACCAGCCTAGTGGATGGGGGAAGCAGTATATGTGAAATATATTGATTTTAGTAAAGCTTTTGTCACAATCTGACACGACATTCTCATAAGCCAACTGGGGAAATGTGAAGATGAAGTTACGGTAAGGTGTGAGCAGAACTTGTTGAAAGATTGTACTCAAAGTTATCAAAGGTTTGCTATTGAATTGGGAGCGCATGTCTAGCAGGGTCCCTCAGGGATCAGTATATGTCTCATGCTATCCAATATTTTCATGAATGATTGGCTAATGGGGTGGAGAATATGCCTATATAATTTGTGGATGACACCAAGCTGGAGAGAGTTGACTGAAGAGAGCCCAGAGGACGGCAACAAAATTGATAAAGGTTTATAAAACATGACTTTAAGAGCTGACTGGGGGGGGGGGGGGTGGGGTGGGGGGGGAGAACAAAACAAAAAACAAGCTAATCCTGTTTAGTCCTGAGAAAAGATGACTGAAGGGGAGTTTGATAACAGCTTTCAAATATGTTAAGGACTGTTATATAGAGGTTGGTGATCAACTGTTCTGCATGTCCACAAAAGGCAGGACAAGTAGTAGTAGGATTAATCTGCAGCAAGGGAGATTTAAATGAGCTATTAGGAAAGACTTCCAAAATGCCAGGGTAGCTAAGCTCTGGAATAGGCTTCCAAGGGAGGTTGAGGAATCCCCATCATTGGAAGTCTCTAAGAACAGGATGGGCAAACACCTGTAAGGGAAGGTTGAGGCTTACTTGGCACCGTCATAGTGCGGGGGGCTGGACTTAGTGACGTCTCAAGAATCCTTCCAGCCCTACCATTCTGATTCTATGCAGAGAGGGTTCATTGCTCACAGTTTTAGCCATGTGATGTTTAACAATTGCTGAAAGCAGGTAAAGCTTTTGTGTAAATGGTATAGATGACAAGAGAGAGATTAGTCACTGTACCTGTTGTGAGGAGCAGTCTGATACCCAACAGCCAGCGCCTGCCTTAGGATATCATTCACAAGTTGTTCAGTAGCCTAAAGACAAAAAGCAGCATTAGGGGTGACATGTAAAAAGATTAAGCAATGGATTTTATTTGTAATTTCACTTTCACAAATAAGCAGAAGCTCAAAGGTTTAGCTTTTATTTTTTTTAGTTCTAGACTCAGTTAACATTTTTTAAATGGATCAGCCAATAAACTACAAACTATACCAACAACCCGAAAAAGATTCTACTGTCCTAAGGTGAGCAAAGCCTGGCTAAAATTAAAATCACTAGAACGTCCCAGTTCTTAAAGTTGCTAAAGATCTTCGGTGGCAAATAGTATATTCTTTGCTTTATCTGACACCACAAACAACAGCCTTTTATGCAGGATTACTCGTTCTTATTTCAAGTATCCTGCAGTCTAACAGTAGAGGCAAGGCAGCCAAAAAGGGGGCAGTAATACTTTGGGAAAAATATTTAACCCTTATCAAATACTAATTAATCAACATCATTTCTATAGGGTTGGTAGATATCGTCTTTGCAGCAATGAGCAAAGTGATTTGTTCAAGCTTACAGAATGGATTCAGTGTCAGAATAAACATCAGAGGATGAAAGTTTACATATTTCATCATAATGTCATCTCTAGCCCAACATTTCCCTCTCTCTCATACTGAGAATTTGATTCTGTGCAAGTCTTCTGGATTGATCATTATTCTACATTACTGGGTCAAATATAATTATAGAAATGTAATCACAGTCAAATAATAGCTTACCTTTAAAACCATATCTTCTATAACTGATGCATAAACATTCTTGTGCAGCTCAACAGGTTGAAAAGAAATCCCTATCTATAAAATGAGAGAGAGAAAATATTTTTTAATCTGATAAGACTGCTGCAAACAAAATAACCAATAAGGTTATTTTGAAACATAGCTTAGGAAAGCTGTTCTGAAAGATATGACAGCGAACAATGTGTTTCAGGAGTAATCCATTACAATGATAACACAAACATACTGTAAAGTTTAAGTACAATATAATTTCCAGGATTAGATTTGAAAGAATATCCAGTGTAGGCAAAATCTGAACCTACAAATGGCGGCAGGGACATATCTAAAACAGAGAAAAGTTAAATTATTTTGATGGGTTGGGGGTCACTTCTGTGAGCAAAAGCCCCTCTGGACTTTTGTGTGTCTATTTACTTGATTAGTTTCAGGTTTTGCCCTTAGTTATGAAGACTGGATCTGTATTAAATAGTTCTGTTTCACTCCCCAGGTCCTGCCTTTTGTACTGGCCATGACTTGCATGTAGTACACATATGGAGCTCTGCTCAGATACGGACAAGAAGGAAAAGTTTGACCCCTTGCCCCCCCCTTTGGCTGATGGGCCTGGAAGGAGACAAGCTCTCTCTTCTCCCTCAACTGCTACACAGAGGATCACCCTTTTCTCCCCAATCTGCTACTGAGAAGAAATACATTTCTTGCTCTTCATCAGTAAGCACCACAGAATCCATCTGGGCAAAAGACACTATTTTTATATATATGAATATGAATATGGGGTAACTAGTTTAGTGGTCATTCCTTAGCTTGGCGCAGCAAGTTTCACTACCTCCTGTGCCATGTCTCTCACAAACTCTGAGCCAGGCAAGGAGGCTAAGTAGAACTTCATCTCCTCTTGTTTTTCTTCCTGTTCCTTCTTAATGTTTATTTTTAGTGGCTCAGTGCAGCCAAGGATATCCACTTCCTCCTCATTCTCTGGTTCTTGTTTCAAGAACTGCTGCAGCTCCTCCAGTTTTCGGCAGAGCTCTTCACCACTCGTGTAAGACGACGGGCACTCTAAAAAGACAGAATTCAGTCTTACTTAGGACGTGCTGGGAAAGGCACTTAAACATGGATACAGGCCCAAAGTCATGAGAGAGAAAAATCAAGTACGTAAAGGACTCATTTTGGGACTTCATACTTCAGAACACAAGGCTGAACAAAGAGCAAATACCACCCCAAGAGTCTTCTCTTTAATGACACCCAGTACAAACTAACAGTGCAAAGTGGTCTCACTCATCAGCTGCTCCTAATAAAGAAGCTGCACTTCAAACACTATGGGTGTGTCTACACTACACCTAGAGCTCAAAAGAAGCTATGCAAATTGTTTAGCTTATTTTGAAATTAGGCACTGTCTAGACAGCACTTTTTCAAAATAAGTCGCTATTCCAAAACATCCCTTACTCCTCATGGAATGAGGTTTACAGGGATTTCGGAATAGCGAGCCTGTTCTGTTTTGAAATAACAGTGTGTTCAAAAGACACGGAATAGCTATTTATGGGATACCTCTGGTATCCTGAAATAGAGCTGCAGTGTAGATGTAGCCTATCAGACTCATGTGGATTTACTAGAGTCTTCCAGCAGTTCTTTTGTAGAAAAGTTTGAAACTAGTAGATACTGCCCTCACCACATTGAGAAATGGAAATGCCACGCAGCTCTGGATACTAATCATGTTGCTAAATGTAAGGATCTAATTTAAAAAAGATAATTAAACAGATTCTTAATTTGTGTAAGTATGCGTAGATTTATTGTCCCTGTATGAGAATCTACCCACAGAAGAGCCAAGAGATGACAGTCCTTTTTGCATCCTCTCATTACCATTCCTCTGAACTATCTGGTTTCCTCACTGCATGTATTATTCCCCCTCACAGTCAGTCATTAGGAACTGAAAAGGTTGCATGAATGTTTGACCTTTTCTTTTCTACTCATCAGGTGCTTTCCAGGTCTACATGACTGCTCACAGCTCACTACTGCTTTGATTTTTGTCTGAACAGACTGGTAGTCACACACTGTTCCATAGCTGCCTCCTTCTATTTGGTAAAATCCATTTCTTCATTCCATTCTTTAATCCTCCTGTCCTACTTCTTAAAAGCCTGGCGCTTCCAATAAGCCATCAGAAGCATCACAAACTTGTCATAATGAGAACTGCATAATAGACATTTTCTGAAAGCAAGATGTCTAAACTCCACTCAATTTATAATTACACTGGGAACTGACAAAAAAAAGCCCTATTGTGGGACTGTGATAAGAAAAACCCTATTTTCCAGCTCAAGAACAATGTTTCTTTCCATGAGCACACATTTTACAAAACAGTAAGCTGCAGATGCCAAAGCTGGCTAACTGTGACTGGTTTCAGAGCAAGGAAGCTCTACAGGATGTCAAAAGGAGTTGTACAGAATGGTTCAATTGTGCTCCATGAATGTTACCGCAGGGCAAAGAGACAGGACCTGCAGTACAAGCGTTTATACGCCTGAGATGGGCAGCAGTGGCTAAATTCTGTGACAGTCATAGACCTGCTCTGTAGTAAATGATGAATACCACACACTGACCAGGTTATTGGGACATGTACTGCAAGAATATGTTGGTTTAGCTGAAGAGCAGGCTGTAAGGAAAAACAAGCAGGAAGGGAAGGAGAATTGCTCAGGAGAAAGAGAAATCCCCTCTGTAAATGCTTGAGGATTGTTACAGGCTCAAAGTCTGACTTGACCTCTTCCTGAGCCTCCCAAAATGGTTTTGACAAGTGGGACCAAATGCTGGGAGCTGACAGGTGGAAAGGATCTCTGGCTGGACTGAAAAGGATTCACTCTCGAGAGGAGAGCTGCTGTGAAGGTGATCCGGCGGACAAGACTGACACAAAGGCCCTGAGGGGTGTCTAATGAAGTTAGGCCTGGACATGCTATCATCAGGGGATGAGTCCTACAGTTAAAACAAATGGTTTTGATAAGGCTGTCTTGGTCATAGTATACCATTGGTCCCAGCTGCACGTTGCCAGGCATACCTGATCTAGCACAATGCACTGGTGGGGCACAACCCAGGATCAGTCTTTTCACAGAGTAATAAAATAACTGTAAGATCAGGGCGGGGTGGAAGAGGAGGAATCTGGCTTTAGGGGAGGGATCAGAAAGAGGAACAAAGGAGCAGCACTGGAA